CTGGAGATAGGAGTCACGTGGATTTTCCTGTCTGGATGGCTTTAAGCCATAATCTTCAGATCTCAGCTTCCTGAGTAGCTAAAATTATAGGTATGAGCCACTGGCACATGCCATCCCTGATCATTTTTAATAAATTCAAAAATAAAGTCAGTGAAAGAACATTAAGTTATTCACGCTGTGTGTGTGTGTGTGTGTGTGTGTGTGTGTGTGTGTTACTGGGGTTTGAACTTGCCTTTCAGGTGTTCACCACTGAACCCTGCCTCTAGACCCATGTTTGCTGGTTTTTGAGATGGAGACGTGCTTCCTTCCATGAACATGCTCATGGATTTTAATCCACCTACTTGAGGTTTCTCATAGTTGCTGAGATGACAGGCATATGCTACTATGTCTAGCTTTCCTCCATTGAGATGGAGTCTCAAAGACTTTTCTTCCCATTCTGGCCTTGAACCATGATCCTCCCATTCTCAGCCGCATAAGTAGCTAGGATTCCAAGCATGAGCCACCTGCACTTGGCTGCCATTCACTCTGTTTGTGTGTGCTTGCCTGTGCCTATACTGGGGCTAGAAATCAGGCCTCTTACTCTCATTTGGCTTTTTTCCCCCTAGGCTGGCACTCAATCATTTGAGCCACACCTCTACTTTAGGCCTTTTTGCTGGTTAATTGAAAATAAGAGTGTGGCAGACTTTTCTGCCCAGACTGGCTTTTGAATCTCATGCCTCAGATCTCAGCCTCCTGAGTAGCCAGCATTACAAGTGTAAGCCACTCTTTACCAAATCCTAATTCATTGATGATGCTAGAAGTTTTTCTTCCTTATAATTAACACTAGTTTGTGATGGTGGTGGTAATGGTATGGGGGGGGGTGTATAAGAGAAATAGAGAGAGGGCAGGGGGGAGAGAGAGAGAGAGAGAGAGAGAGAGAGAGAGAGAGAGCCTTCTTCAATGACCCTGTAAGACCTATTTTTTTTTCATTTACAGATGAAAAAGCAGGTGTACATAATTTCTCCAAGGACTGAGAGCTAGAAAGTGTCAAAGGTAAAATTAAAATACAGAGCTTGAGCTGAGTGTCAGTGTCTCATGCCTGTAATCCTAATTACTCAGGAAGCTGAGATTTGAGGATCGTGGTTCAAAGCCAGCCTGCAAGAAAGTCTGTGAGACTCTTATCTCCAACTAATCAGCAAAAATCCAGAAGTAGAACAGTGGCTCAAGCATTGGTATGCCATCCTTGTGCAAAAAAGCTCAGGAACAATACCTAGGTCTGGAGTTTAAGCCCCAGGACCAAAGCTCACAGAGCCTGAAAACAAATTTATTTGTTTGGTATAGTGACTATTAACAAAGTACCCAAGTTCTGGGTGCTAGAGTCTCATGCCTGTAATCCTAGCTACTTAGGAGGATGAAACCTAGAGGATAAGGATTTGAAGCACTCAAGAGGCTGAGACAGGAGAATCACAGTTCAAGGCCAGCCTGGAATACCTAGTCTGGCCTACAGAGTGAGTTCTAGAGAACTCTAGACTATACAACAAGACCCTGCCTCAAAAATGAGGAGGATGCTGTATTGATGACCCATGTCTGTAATTCTAGCTTCTTAGGAGTCTGAGATTTGAAGATTACAGTTCAAAGTCATGAGGACCTATCTAAGAGAGTAGCATAAAGCCACAAGTAGAGGTGTGACTCAAATGGAAGACTGCCATTCTTGAGCAAAAAAGCCAAGGGAGAGCATCAGGCCCTGAGCTCAAGCCCAGTACTAGCACAACAAAAAATGAAAAAAAGGGGGGGGGCTGGGAATGTGGCATAGTGGTAGAGTGCTTGCCTAGTGTGCATGAAGCCTTGGGTTGGAATTCTCAGTACCAAAAGGCCAGAAGTAGTGCTATGGCTCAAGTGGTAGAATGCTAGCCTTGAGCAAAAGAAGCTCAGGGACGATGCCCAGACCCTGATTTCAAGCCTCAGGAATGGCAAAAAAAAAAAAAAAAAAAAAGCTGAAGAACTAGGTTGATAATCTAAATTTAAATTTAAACAGGTAGCCGGGTGTTGGTGGCTCATCCTAGCTACTCAGGAGGCTGAGTTCTGAGGATCACAGTTCAAAGCCAGCCCCGGCGAGAACATCTGTGAGACTCTTATTTCCAATTCACCACCAAAAAAACAGAAGTGGTGCTGTGGCTCAAATAGTAGAGTGCTAGCCTTGAGCTGAAGAGCTGAGGGACAGCCCCCAGGCCTAGAGTTCAAGCCCCACGACAGACAAAAACAAAAAAGCAAAAATTTAAACAGGTAGCCCCTAGAAAAACAGGGGAAAACACAGAATTGTTCTAAATACAGAAATGCTCAATAGGTATTCATGAAACAAATAAAAACATTCCCTTTAGGCTTTTCAAATAATAAAATTTTCATTTAGAATTTAGTTCTTGTATACATGGAGCATTAAAAGTAAGAAAAAAAAGTGTTTCAGGGATCCTTTTACTTTAGAGCAAAATGCAAGTCTCTTTTTTTAAATACACTAAAATTAAAAGCTTCCCACCATAAGTTCAAACCTTTAAGAAGCTTACCCCCACATTATAACTTCTCTGTAAAAATTCTGCCCAAGATACAATTATCCTATCCTTATAAGTGAAAATATAATGGCACATTTTACTACTGATGTTGTTTCGACCTGAAAGATGAAACTGGTACTTTCAAAGAGTTCAAGTCACATGAGAGATACAAAATGCTCAAAAGGTCAAGGATTAATTTTAAAATGTTAAAAAAAAGTAAGTGTACCTGCTGGCCATCCAAAAATGATAAGCAGAGAGATGAAAAGGATAGAATTGCCAAGAAAGTAAGTAAATAGAACTGCTATTTCCCAAATGAAAACACATTAAAGCTGTAATTATATCTTGGGGTATCTGCTGACACAAAAACTCTACTATGCTCTTGAGGCTTACTCTGTCACTAAGAACTACCAAATTGGAATTGCAGCTGTAAACATAACTAGGACACTTTATACTTCTCAAAGATTCCCAATGTGACACAAGGGATAAGGCAGAAAGAAAGCCAGTAACATTTGCCAAAAACGTTCCTTCCCTCAGTTGTTCAAGGTAAGTCAAGACTGTAATTTTTAAGATTGTAAGTCTCATCTTGTAAATTTCTCCTCAGACATGGAAAGGAGAGGAATGCTGTGATATTTAAGAGCTTCTTCCACCCCATGGTATAGCCACATAGATAGCTACCAGCAAGGTCGTATGAATAGATGGATAGTGAACATCCCTCCATTCACTCAGCAAATACGAAGTACCTGTAAGGGTCAGGTGTCATTTGAGTCCCAAGGATACAGCAATGAAAAAGTCTCACACTTATGGGTTAATGTGAGGTGGGGGGAGGAGGCGGGGGAGAGTGTTAATAAACCAAGAAACTTGTACTACAAGTGTTGGTAAGTAGAGTAAGATATGGAGGGCAGGTGTCTGGGATGTATTTTATAGAATGGATGGGGAAAGTCTGAAGAAGTAAAGGAATCAATCATGGCAATACTCAGGGATCAGAGTTCCGGGTAGAGGGAACATTAAATGCAAAGGCAGTGAACTGGAGTATACTTCCAATTTTTAAAGAACAGCAGAAATAGGTATGGCAGGCTGGAAGCCAAGAGAGGTGGACAATCTGGTAGTCCACAGCAAGAACTTGAAATATGACTAATATGAGAAGCTACTGGAATGCTGTAAGAAAACTAGAACAATCAGGCTTACTTTTTAAATTGCTCACAAAGGGACCACAAGTCCCTATTCCTACAATCAAAACATATCCCCATAATCTAGTTACAAGCAAAAGAAAAAGTACATAAATAAAAATAACATATTCTGGTAGCATCTTTGCATGAAGAAAAAAATAAAACGTACACATGGAAACAAAAGACTGAAAAGATAAAACACCAAACTGATTTACCAGGGTTAGTGAGACTGAGGTTTTTCCCATGCTTCTGTTATTCAAGTTTTCTATTAAACATAAATTACTTTGAAATGTAATAAATTACTTTTTAATGTTATATTTAAAACTTAAAATAAACTCTCTCCACTATGAGACTACCCTAGTCTAAAATCTTATTTCAATGTAGGAGTAAAAAACGTGGGGAATATTTTCCCCCAAATTACCACAGTTCCCAAGCAATGTTTGCTTGTTGTGAACCACTGCACAAATCAAGTGTAGCTGGATATATCAAGGTCACAAACCAACTTGGTTAATGTTTATCATTACATAGTGACTCCCAGTCCTCTAAACCAACCTTAATACCATCTCTCCTAAGCCATTCTCATTCATTTCCCAAGTCTCTTTCATACTGATTTGCATGCTGCTTCTGGATTTTTCCACTGTATGTCTCTTAGAAACAAATCAAGCCCAAATAAGTTGTTCCAGCTAAATGAAGTGAGCTTTTGGCTTGTTCTCCATGATTGAGAATTATCCGGCAGGCAAAGCACCAATTGTTTTAGGACTCATTTTCTCTTAACTTTGAAATATTGCAATACCAAGTTACCACAAATGAAGGACATCAAGATAACGACCAATGAAAGTACCCGTATTTAAATGGAAACTGCCGTGATTCTTTTTTAGATTGAAAGTTTCTAGACAGCTCATGAATAAACATTTAGGATATCTACATAAATAGATGCCGTGGATTCCTGAGACATACACAAAAACAGAAAGGAGTATACCCTCCCTCCTCCACTGCTTGACACTCCCTTCCCCCCCCACCCACCCACCCCCCCCCCCCCGCCTCCAATCACACACCAGCTTCTCCCTGGGCACAAGCCCCGAGCTGTAGCTGCTCAGAAATGCAAACCACCGGACTCCAAAGGACTCCAGTTCGCAAGCACTCTCTACCTACGGCCCGTGTATTCCCTCCCGCTCCCCACCATCGCTTCCAATAGGCGTCTCTGAATGAAGTGCAAAACTCTCTTCCCACGCCATTCGGGGCATCCGAGAACTCGGGGCCCACGTGTAGTGTTTCGGCGTGGGCAGACAAGGGCCCCAGGATTCTACTGTACCCCGAGTGGTTCGACTCCTGGGTTGCTTGGAGCTGAAGCTCTTTACACCAGAGGCCTGGGGCTGACCCGCTGGGCCAGGTGCCCCTCCGCGGACACCCCCACTTGCCCTCCGTCACCCTTCCTGCTCCCTTCGCAACTGTGGGGCCACAGTGCACGGGGATCCCCAGGGCGCAGAGCCTAGTGTGTGTGTGTGTGTGTGTGTGTGTGTGTGTGTGTGTGTGTGTGTGTGGAGGGGCGGGGGGGAGTGATGACAGACGGGAAGGGCGTGGCCTGTGGTGGGCGTGGCCCGGTGGGTGGGGCCTGGGAGGGGCGGGGCTCCCGGCGTGGGGTTGGGGCCGAGGGGGGGGTTGCTGGCGGCTGACAGAAAGCCTGGGGGGCGGCGGGCTGACGCGAGCCTCCGGGCCGCGCGGGGGCCGGGCCCGGCGGGAAGCAGCTCGCGCAGACACAGGGGCTGACAGGCAGAGAGACACACGGACACCGGGTGACAGCCGCGGGGGCACACGGGGTCGGCGGGCGGGAGGGCCGCGGCGGGCGCTCACCTGGCAGCGGCACTGGCAGCGGCGGCGGCGGCGGCGGCGGCGGCGGCGGCACCGGCACCCGCGGCCCGGCCGCTTTCCCTGCGCTGCGGGCCTCCCTCCCTGCTTCCCTCCCTCTCGACGGGCGGGCGAGCGGGCGGGCTGGCGGGCAGCGCAGGCCCCACGGAGGAGGCAGCGCTGGCAGCGGCGGCGGCGGCGGCGGCGACGCCAGAGCCGCGGACTGCTGAGCGGCGGGGACGCAGCTGCACCAACTGACTCCGAGCCGCTCGGCTCGGCTCGGCGGCGCTCGGAGGTTTTCGGCGGCGTTCGGCCCCGCTCGGGCCCGGCTGGGGGCGTGGCCAGGAGCCCCCCGCCCAGGTCGCCTCAGGCGCTTGGGGGCGGAGCTTGTGAGGGGGCGTGGAGCCCCCTGACGGCGCGGAGAAGGGAACCTTGCCCCAGGCGCATGCGCGGGGGCCTTCCTGGCTCTCCGCTCGGAGGCCAGGGGGGCCGTGGGGAGGGGAGGGAGGATTGGGATGAGGGGGAAGAGGGGGTGCGGATGCTGGGGCCCCGGCTTTTGTACTCCGTATCCTGGCCTTTCTGGAGGAGGGCTGCCCGAGAGAGGCCCCACGGGGATACGCTTTCGAAAGTACGTGAACTGGGTCGGGACCCTGGACCCCGTCGGCCGCTCTCCCCAGGGCGGTGTTTCCAAACAGCCTTCCTTTTGCAAAGCCGAAGTCCCACTCAAGCTTGTGCATATCTTGTTTATGAAAAGTAACAGTAGCAAAAACAGACTTCTGATCCCCCGCTCGCTTCCTTGGTATTATTCTGAATCTTCCGCTACTTGAGCTCTCAAGCACCGGCTTCCTCGGTTCCCGTAAGGTTAGCCTTGCGCCACCGTGTATCCTCTGAGGGTCCTGAATGCTTGTCACACGTTGTTGTCTTTGTTGTTGTTGCTGCTGCTGCTCGTGGAACCCAAGTCTGTAGCAAATATGCGCCCCCACCTTTAAATCCTATAATAAACAGAAATCTGTTGTTTGATACACCTGACTCCCCATCCCCAGTCTGTAATAATCCAGCAGATTGTTAATCGAGTGGCTTCAGACATGTTCCTCTCTCATCCATAAAAGGGCAATTAAAGATTAGTAACTAAGCAATAGAAAGGAGTGAAAGAATTAAATACAGCTTATATACAGCTTGCAGATTGCCGTGGTGTTCAAAACACCTGACTTTATGGACAGGTATGTTGGTTCAGGTCTGAAACAGACGAGAAGGTGTTAAATTTGACCCTAGCTTGGGCAAGCAAGATTCAGACTAACTGGTTACAAAGCAAGATATCTTTAAAAAAAAAAAAAAAAAGCTGACTTTAAACTAAGATTGCACTGAACCTAAACGCCAGCCTGTCGGTGACTCCAGCCAAGTCATTGTGTCCATCTTAGGCTTCACTCTTCCTATCATATTCCACATTCCATCCAACAGCAGCCTGTCATTTCTACCTTCGGAACTCTCTCTTCCTGCAGTAGAATATTCCAACCGTCTCCTTACCCATTCTCCCGGATCCCACTTGTGCTTTTCAACACAGCAGCTAGAGGGATCCTGTTAAAATTCAAGTCAAGCTAGCCACCAGTGGTTCACACCTGTAATCCTAGCTACTCAGGAGGCTGAGATCTGAGGATCAGGGTTCAAACCAGCCCAGACAGGAAAGTCCATGAGACTCTTATCTCCAATTAACCACCAGAAAACTGGAAGTGGCTCTGTAGCTCAAGTGGTAGAGTGCTAGCCTTGACCTGAAGAGCTGAGAGACAGCGCCCAGGCCTATAGTTCAAGCCCCATGACCGAAAAAAAAAAAAAGAAAAAAGAAAGTTACCTTCCCAACTTTCCTGCACACTTTACTAAAATATCTAATCTACATCCCTCATTCAGCTTCCATTTTCCCTCCCAGTCCTTGTGACCTCTGTATTAACTTTAATGCCCCTGAGGGCAGGAATTTTGTTTTGCTCATCTTTAACATCTGGGGCAAGGGCTGACATGTTCCTATACTCAATAAATATTCCTTGAATGAATGAGAATACATAGAAGCATGTTGTTCCAATTTATCTTCATTTATTTCACAAACTTTTCTAAGCATGTATTCTGATCAAAGTAAACAGAGATATGTAGCCTTGTAGATAAACAAAGCACTCTCCTAACCATAGAGGAATTCCATACCATTAGACTAACATTAGATAGATCTGCCAACTGTTTGGGGAAGCACACTGAAAGGCATAAGTAATAGTATATAAGAGAGAATAGAAAGGCTTTCCAGAGGAAGTTCTGGGGCTGGATTTGAAGAGCTTATCACAAAGCGATTACAGACAGAGGAAACAGCATACATTTAATACCAGGGTTGGTATTTCACAGGTATTTCACAAATTGTATTTGCCCAAGGAGGCAAATTATTTTCCCCTAAAACAGTAAGTTAAGCAGATTCCAGGCGATCCCTATAATAATGTGTCACACACACACACACACACACACACACACACACACACATACACACACACACACACACACACACACACACACACACACGATGTGATAAAATTACTACCTAGCCTCTATTTTATCAAATGGGCTATGTCTGTAAATGGGAATGTATAAGGAAAGCTTCCCCCCTCCCACTTCCACTCCCACCCCCTGCAATTGTGAGGCTTGAACTCAGGGCCTGGGCACTGTCCCTTAGCCTCTTTGTGCTCAAGGCTAGCACTCTACCACTTAAGCCACAGCACCACTTCCAGTTTTTTGAGTGGTTAATTGGAGATAAAGTCTCATGGGGACTTTTCTGCCCTGGCTGGCTTCAAACCAGAATCCTCAGATCTCAGCCTCCTGAGTAGTTAGGATTACAGGTGCCTGACTAAGAGTACATTTCTTCTGGACAATGACACTCCTTCCCCATCTCTCCCCCCCCCAGTTACCCCCTCCCATCCCCACCATAAGTTGTATAGTTCATTTTCAACATGAGTTTTTCCCAATTCTTTTCAGAGTTTCTAAATACATTATTATAATTGTAGAATTAAAATACACATACCATTTAACTATTTTTTAACTAACAGATGTTAAACATCTGTCTGCTTGAACACATACAGATATACTTCCTACTTGGGGGATAATGGACATATTCATTATCTTAACTGTGGAGATAATCTCACAATTGATACATGTGTCAAAACTCAAATTATATACTATAGGTATGTGTGGTTTATTGCGTACCAATTGTACCTCAATGTACCTCAATGGAATAATAATGTCTTATATCTCTTACTATTTTCCCAATGTAACACTAATTTTCTTCCGTGCTATTGTAGGTGCATTTAATTCCTGGCTGTTTATGACTGAGAAGAATGACAAGGAATGCATCTGCTATGTTTTACTAACTTGTTTCCCAGGGTTTCCGTTGCCTTCGGTTCCTCTATCCATGGCCAGCAATGTAAAAAAAATAAAATAAAAAGGGCTGGGAATGTGGCTTAGTGGTAGAGTGCTTGCCTAGCATGCATGAAGCCCTAGGTTTGATTCCTCAGTACCACCTAAACAGAAAAAGCCAGAAATGATGCTGTGGCTCAAGTGGTAGAGTGCTAGCCTTGAGCAAAAGAAGCTCAGGGACAGTGCCCAGGCCCTGAGTTCAAGCCCCAGGACTGGCAAAAAATAAATAAAAATAAAAATAACCTCTGCATATCTTCTTATGGATCTGAGCCTCTCATCTATAGTCCCAGAAGCAAAATTACTGCAGTGGGAGTCCTGTGCATACTTTAGTTCACTAAGAACTAATACTTGTCTATTGGTCAGAGGGGCTGAGCTAGTTGGGAGTCCCACAAGCTGGGCCAGTCTCCTCATTTGGGTTTTCCTACCTTTCATGCTGCAAAGACAGAGGGGACATACCTTGGTTCCTGGTGTTCTTCCCCACTACACTTCAACTTGGTATTAACCTTACACCTACTGACAAATAATTCTTCAAGCCAAGGCATAGGGCTGTGTATATTTCCAAGCAACAAATGGAATTTCTTTTTTTTCAGGAAAATATTTATATTTCATACAACATGAAATGTTCCAGTTACATATTGTGGCATAATTTAGTGTCTTTAGACAGTTGTTGATTGTGTGGTTCTGTCAGTCAAGTTGGTTTTACTAGATAGTTCTTAGTGGTGTTTTCATGGTTTTATAGTTGACTGTAAGCTTTTGAGTGCAGTCATACGGAAGATCAACTGGGCTGGACATGACTTTCTCAATTTTGTTTGTTACTCATCTAGAATGGCTGGAAAGCATAGGGAAGGTTTAGAATCTCTTTTCTTCTACTTGGCTTTTACACATGACCCAGATGGAATTTCTTATCTACTTCTACTTGTTTTCTAAATCATATTTGGGGGAAGGGGGAGTGTAGGTTAGTAATGGGAGGTCTGATTGTGTTTTTACTGAGTAATGTGTGTGTGTGTGTGTGTGTTTGGTACTAGTACTAGAGCTTGAATTCAAGGATTCTTGCTCTCACTTGGCTTCTCTTTTTCTTTTCTCAAGACTAGCACTCTTCCACTTGAGCTACACCTGCTATACTTCTGGTTCTCTGCTGGTTAATGGGAG